CCGATGTTATCAAATTTAGTCAAACAGGGCTACTATAAAGTAGCCTTACCATATCCGTCTCAGTAACTAGACCGACTACAATAAACATGATTGAGGCTCTTAAAAATTGAGATTTTTTTTTCTTCGCCTGGTTTTGTGGGAGGATGCAAGAGATGTGTAGGCGATTCTTCATAATTAATATATTTCTGACGATATTTTATTACTAAAGCGTACACTTGAGTGTCAATGTCATAGGTTTGATCACAGGAGACACAGGTCTTTAAAAGGTTCTCATCTTTTTCTAAAGCGTCATAATGTGTCCATCTGAAGAAATTTGGAGTCTTACTAAAAATGCCCATTCTCGGTTTTCCCGATCACGGTGGCACTTAGTCTTGGTGTACTTTGCCTCTGCCGTTCAGGGGTCAACTATTTCTTAAATATACTACTCGATACTTCTAAGAGTGTCGATTTCATTTTCATGGAAAAAGTATATCAGTTTATGTGTCTAGATAATTATGTTTAATGTTTTCAGTTAATAGACATAAGGGTAGGTAAACCAGGGAGTTGGGATTAATCGTCAGGTATTACATTAAACTTTTCCTTTTGAGGCGCTGTATAATCACAAACACCAGCAAATACCACTCAAATTTCGTGTTCTTTCGTCTAAATACGACAGCTCTGCGGTTTAAACTGCACTTCACCATAGGCATGCCCTTGTATATATAACTTTCTGGCAAAGTTTATGCGCAGAAAATGTTTATTTACAATATACCAGAGCTGGAATAAAGATGATGAATGAACTACCTGAAAGGAAAAGTGGCTTATTTGTGGTTGACCCCAAAAGGGCGGGGTCAAAGTATACCAGCCATTGCTTTTAACGTGAAATAGATCGGGATATTATGCGATGATGTAGGTCTAGCTTATTCAGTCCCATACGGACCGGGCATAGTACGTGAGGACGAGGAGGGGGGTGGGGGAAGAGATGGCACTACAGATACATTATGTGGAGTTATATAATGTGTTTTTTGAAAAATTATTCATATTTCTCCATTATTTTTACGGTTGAATCCAAAGTCATATTACATGTGAGGAAATAAAGAGGATTCATGATCTCTCTAGCCCCCCCCCCCCCCCTACACACAAGACACCCACAAAACCATAAACGAACCAACCAACAATAATGAACAAATGGGAAAAATTCCCAAACGTCCATCCAACAACAAACAGGGATGACAGTAGATTGTTTCATATTTTACAACTGTATTATAGTTTTGAGCGCGCGGGGGGGGGGGGGGTGTGAGCTTGTCAATATTTTTGGAACATGTGGCGCTTCAGAAATCTTTCTCTCTCTCTCTCTCTCTCCCACTCTTTCCCTGCAATAAATCAGAAATTCAGAAAACTTGCTTTTACCCCTCTCTCACCCCCACCCCTTTCTCCTCCGTGCTATCCAGTATCTAGAAGAGGTCATTTATCAAAGCTACTTGGTCTGATAGGACGCTACGCACCTTGAGACCATCGCTCATTAAAGCTACATGATGATTTCGGAAGGAATCTAACAGCAACTCACCCGCAACTCACCCCAGGGTGTCACAAGCCCTATTACGCAAGGAACGGCAAGCATCCTCACCAATCATTACCACCACTTCAAGATAATCATCAAGAGACTCTTAGATCATTAGCACAGATCATATAGAACACCCCTAATAAGACAAGGGATTATCGTGCCAAAGCCTTGACTGTTACATATCACACTAACCATTAGTGTGAGGTGGATGCTGAAAACAATGGAACACAAGAAGAAGTCCAATCGGTGGAGCCCCTTGGGTTTGGTGGTGTTGCTTTGATTGATATATCATCCGGGTGAACTCCCGTCGGGAGTAATTATAAAAGAATTAAGCTCCCATTACCCTTAAAGAAAAACGCTGAACTACAATAAACATAAAGATAAAATCATTGCCGTATAACCGTGGAATACCAGCTATAACCATGAACCAAGCTTGAATCTGTGCAACATTGTGACAGACTTAATTTCCAACATAGTTTTGAATAATCTGTCGGTAAACTATCCATGTTAGGTAGAAAACAGTTATACTCTTATTTGGGTATATCAAAATGTTTTCTTGTTTGGCTGAGAGTTATTATAACAAATTGTGTATTTTCTTTTGTTTCCGCTCTTGCATTCCCAAGCTGAAGAGTTTTGAAGAGCGGGTGCGAGAGTCATCTCCGTGTGTGGCGGTCCCCCGAACCCCAAAAAAGAATCTTTACCGTCTTTAGTACTCCCCCCCCTCTTATTTTAAAATATTGGCTCCTCCACTAGAATGAGAGGAAAGTTTAGTATTTACTTACAAAGTGATAAACGCGGTAGAAATAATAGTAGTGGAAGTGAAAAAATGAAGATAGAAAAATAAGTTTGTGACTTGTTATCTATGTGACCTTGAATCATATTTCATGGTAAAGGGTGACTAATACCCTGTAGAAATAATGATACCATATTCACATTTGTCCTGCCACTGATGATGAGCAGCAGGCTTTTAAAAAGTATTGTCAAAATGTTCATGTACCATGTTTGGGCTGAGGTAATGAATATGTGCCACCTGGCCAGAAGCCATAATTTTTGTTATATCTCATTCCAAAAACTATTTTCCCCGGGGGAAATTGTTTTTTGCTATTCGAGATTAATGGTTATTTTGATTTCAATTAAATTCAATTTTATTTTTTCTCATTTCCAGCAAAAGAATAGAGTATTCATAGAAATATCATTACAATAAACAATCAAAGTAGTAACCATGCAATACAAAATATGAATTTAACAGAATTACATATTTGAATATCAAGAAATATTGCTGCTTAAAATAATTTATTAATGTTAAGCTGGAAACGGAGAGGTCCACTGTGAAGCGATGCTTGTAAATCGTGGACCCCTCGGGTGGTAGTATTCAATAATAGTAAGTTACATGAGTAAAATAAGGATAATTGCCAACAGAGAGGACACAAAAGGAGAAACAAAACAATACGCATAACACGAACAATGTACAAAGAAAACAAGGAGAGTGTGAGAGGAGAAGGGATACAGTAAAGAGAAAAGGTTTGCATGTGGACTACAGAAATAGATGAAAGGTGATAACAAACAGAATGAAGGTTGCGCGCAAGATCATATTTTCAAAAAAAAAAAAAAAAAAAAAAAGACTCCTAAATTTGAAGGAAACCTCTAGGTTCTAGACATGCCTTCTTAGTTACAGCAAGGATTACATGCAATTTGTCTTAAAACTTTCAATGTTATCCATGTCATTCGTGATTACAATTTGATGGTTTAGTAGGTCCATGGTTTATATAATTTTGACTCTACATCCGGGCTGTACATACCAAGACAGGATCACTCTGGCGGTTAGACCATGGACCTACTCAAGTGTTGTAAGGTGCAGGCCAAAACCATGTTTCATGACATCCGCCCTCTCGTGTTTGAGACCTGGTCTAAGTCTATTCAAGTCTGCCATTCTTACACTGTCTATGAAATCACGATTTGGTAAATTAAGATGTTGATGAGAATCATCTAAACAAGAATGACGACCTTTTCAACAAAAGAACAGCAATGGATAAAACAAGATAGAACCAATTGAAAATGTTAATGGTCTACTGAGCACACTCAGGGGTGTGGGGGGATTTTTACGAAATAAGTTGTTTGCTCATTATGTTATATTGTGTATATTCTAGTCATGCCTATTTTAGAAGAAGATTATTAGTGATTGTGAATAACAAAAAAAAGAGGAAGTGGGAGAGAGAGAGAGAGAGAGAGAGAGAGAGGGTGAGTGAGAGAAAGAAAGAGAGAAATAGAGAAGAGAGAGAGAGAGGGAGAGGGGGAGGGGGGGGGGGGAGGAGATGAACATATTAACACGAAAAGAGGGGCATTTCGAGGTAATATAAAACAAAGATTTAAACTTATTCATTTCCTATCTAGGACTATGATACTATTGGCGGAAAGAGATATAAAGAACAAACTGCATTCTGACGTTTAATATATTCTAATCTCATTTATAAGATAACGAATAAAAATGGTATCACAGATTTACTTATATAAAAGCTATAGAAGCGGAATGTTATTATTATTATTATCATTAATACCATAAACATTGGCAGTGCTCCAAATTATTTCAGTTGAATTCCATCACTGAAATATACATGTACAACGTACTTCAAATGATGGTCATAGAAGTGTTTTGAGAGCATCTCGCATTAGAATGGAAAATTCTTGGACTATTTTCAAAAAGGCTTTAAAATTCGTTTCTATTTTCTTAAATTTCATCAGCCACTTATTGATAGGGGACGCCAAAATTGTTTACGTATTCTTATTTCTATCTTTAATGACGAAACATATGTTTGAAAATAATATTGACCACTGCAGACTTGAAAATTACCGCTGTGCATCTCACTATTGAGATAGCACTATCTAACTTCTTCAAGGTAAAGATACTTGCAAAATAAAAAAGGAAAAATATGTCGTAGTCCCGCCAGACAGATTAATATCTAAATAGCATGGACAAAAAATACGTATTTAAAGGTGACAACAGAAGAATGTGTTTTATAGGCGAAAACAGAAAACAAGTGGATGACTTAAAGGAACTGGAACGATGTATAAGCATGTTTGTGAACCAAGTTCAGAAATTATTTACACTGTAGATGATCGAGGTTGCGAAAGAACACATAGAGAAAGATAAATAACATTCACTTTCATTTTCATGACTTAAACGAAAATGAAAAAATGAGGTGTGACATTGGGCGTATTATTGTATGAGGACTATTTGTTGGAGGCCGTGGTGGCCGGGAGGGGCGTTAGAAAGAGGTGGGGGTGGGGGGCGTAGCACGTTCTTTTTTTAATCACTTCAGTTGTAAGTAGTATTGCATATGAAATACAACTTAATCTGAAGTCTCAAACAGAAAAATGATAATCACACTCATGGATGTTCGTTATTAATTTAATTCGTGTTCTTTGTTTTTTTGTTTTTTAGGCACTTGTCAACAATTGGCTCATCCGATCCCAAATGGCAGTATTGAGCTGAACATCCACGGAAGGACACTGGTAAACGCGAGAATAATCAACCATCTTATGAAAAGAAAAGTTGAAAGAAGAGAATATATCTTGCTTTCCGACTTTATTTGCATGATAAAATAAGGTGAGGGCAGCCAACATTGGTACCCCCCGCCAAATCATCGGAGGCGTTGAGGTATACTTTGCTACCAAAAGTTAGTACTGTGTGACTCGCGCAGATACGGTGAGCTAGCTGAACGGACTCCGAGCAGACGACAGACCACGCATGCTGGTTCTTCATCAGCCTTGTATTGGTCTCACTTGACGCATTGTTTCGACCGCTTTCATTGCCGCTGGACGCGCTGATCACTTCTCCAGTTTTACTCACTATCATTAGGCTTGGGGACTTTTATCCTTTGAGATAACTTTATCTATGGTTCAGTACTGATTATTTTGGACCTTTCTTCGATTGGTGTGAATCATTGGAAATCCTTATCGACCTTCCTTACAGCTTCTTTCACACGTACGGATTCTTCCTGTAATTTTTCAGCGTCTTTAGGAGAGGTTCTCCTGAACTGTCGCTAGATCGAGGGACACGCCGCTAGCTTTCTTTCTCCCGTCTCGTGACCTTCCCCGGGCTGTTGCCGGCGGAAGATTCGACCAGCAATCGCTATGATGGAACACTCACTCTATGGTCCGACCAGCGCTTCAATGCTCCACCACTACCCCGGTACTATCCCGAGCCCCGCGCATCAATCGCACTATCAGGTGAGAGCAAACTCGCATCTTTTCCCAACATCCATTTCCCCCATCTTCTTCATCTTCCAACTAAATTACATCACCTCTTTCTTCACTCATGTATACTCTCTAAGCTTCCACGTGTTTTTATTTTGACGCGTGATTTGTTGGCGGGATCGTTTTTCCAAATCTACCTGGCGAGGTCGGGGATGTCATTAATTCACATCTCATCAATGAAAGGGCTGGAAGGCTAATTCTATTCGTATGTTGCCATCATCATCATCATCATCATCTTCATCATCATCATCATTAGCCAATACGCCGCAAACCAATCTGATTGTTGTCACGTGTTGTCAAGAATACCATTACAAAATTTAATCCTGGTTATCATAATATTTTTATTTGTGTAATCCTCCAAATTTGATTTTTCGTCCCCATCCCCCATTTTCACACAACCAAAGAAAGTAGCTGGAACTGCAAGTTGAAAACAGAAACAGGAAGCCACGTAGTTTGCTTAGAACGAGGAGAAAATATTTTGACTCTTTTTCTTTGATCTGTTATTTTGTCAAATCCTTCAATACTTTTTACTTTTTATTTTATTTTTATTTGTCGTTTTGCCAGCAGGATTTGCGAACAAAGCATTCCAAATGATAGACCACTATTGTGATAATAGTCGTGAATCCATGCAACCTTTTGCAAGTGTGGCATTTTCATTGATTCTCAAATCTTTGTTCACTTTATTTTATATACACTGATTTCACTTCAGGTATATCGTGCCTATGGTTTTATATGTGGTGGTGTTTTAGTCCATTGACTATTTTCCCATGGGGATTTGGTCACGATGGTGAACCAAAATATTGACCACATACTGAATCATTATCTCCATTCTATGTTCACCTTCAAGCTATCACCTTGGAGCACCTAATGCTTCTATTCTCGGCTATATACCAGTAACCAATTGCAAAAACAATTGTGAATTGTAAATGATACAAATACAACTTTTTTGAAATTAGTATTGATCATGATAAATACATTTTTTTCTTCATAATGATCTCCATATCGTCCATAGACCATGCTATCATTAAGTAAAGTAAGGAAGATTTAGCAACAGAGAACACCGTGCACCATTAATATTATGTAATTACATTGTGGTTACGATATTATGTGACAGTTACGAAGACAAAGATAAAGTGAAGATGTTTTTCATCTATTAAAATGATACAAATTTTAAGTTGGTGCTTGAAAGATGCATCGTTCAATTCAGCGTTATGGAATAGCTGTACTATCTAACTCAGCTCATGAAAGTTGTTATCTTCTCTTGGATGTTGTCCAACGTTTCCCCATATTTTTGCCATTGACATGACTTATATTTTAATTTTACGCGTAAACATGTGATATTATTTGTGTTATTATTTTGCGTTTCATTACTTTTATCATAATATCATAATATATTTTTCATCTATATTTTCGGTTAAGAAGACATTTTTACTATTTGCAAAACCAAAAGCTAATACTGAACACAAACTGAAATCTCGAAATGTATGTCCACGAAACTGCAAAAGGCTCCTTTGTAGCTCCTTGGTTTATGTGTTAAAATAAGTATATACCCAGAAAACGCAAAACAATTTCCGGACATTGGTAAATGTCCTGCATGCATACATGTTTAGCATCCTCAATGTCCACGCTTTGCAAAGGTCTTGAGAACGTAATGTGTTTGCTAAAAGCCTAAATGCTTGAAAGTAAATCTTTACGATCAATGCTGAGGTCCTTGTCGCATGCTCATCCAACCAACCATATTTTCTCCTCAAACCAGGGAGGTTAATTCACATATCCCTGCTCAAACTATGGAAGCTCTCGCTTGCGTGCCTACCAATAGCTGAGTATGCATCCGGCTGTTATGGGAGGAACCGAAAAAGAAGCCACCATTTCCTTTGTTTCTAAACCACCATTCAAGGCCAAATCTTCGTCTGTCAATTTTCACCAATAAAAGAAGGACTAAAAAAGTACAATTCTTTGAAATTGAAAATGAAAATAAATCCGAAAACATAAGGTCAGCGATTCTCTGCAATAGTGACGCGCGTTAAAATCACTTATACTTATATCCGATTTAATCCCTTATAACCGTTCAAATAATCTTTATGGAGAAAAATGGAAATACTTTTTGGAAGACTTTGAGGCCTATATATAATTATAAGACAAATACATTGTGATGAATTGAAGTGTCATTATAAGCAAATGATTCTGCAAATTTTATTTCATTCAATCATAATAAATTAGCAATCCGCTGTACAAGACCATATAAAACAAAGAAAAAGGAAGAGGAGGAAAGTGAAAAACAAAAAAACAAACAAATACGAACCATCAAACAAAAAAAAACAAAAAAATGGTTCGTCTTCAGATTAGCTTTTATTAAAAACAATCACTTTACTTTGGATTACATACAGTGAAAAAAATACACGGGGGCTCGGGGCGAATTAGCCCCCGAAATGCCAAAAAGAGCCCCCCAAAATTTGCATAGAGTTAAATGCAAAACGAATTAAAGAGTGTTATTTTCATGCAACAAGCTTGAAAAGTAGCCCCTGTTAGAGTATTTTGTCCCTGATTACATAAAAGAGTGCATTAAAAATATTTTTCAAAATTCGCATTGCTTTGATTACATTGACCATGGACCTTGAGTCTCAGTCTTTGTCTTCGCGTGAAACACAGGTAACGATTACAAATAGATATCTGATCATAGATATTATCTATAATCATTTTTTCAAACTAAATCAAAGTAATTGGAATTCAAGCTATTACTAGAGTAAAAATTAAATTGCAATATTCAATAACCTAAAATAAATGGCCGTTGTTGTAGGCCTATTTACTTTTCGCTATCAGGACGAACCGCGCACGAGGACCAATCGTTGTAGCCTACATCGTTTCCTTTGGCTCCATGATGCGCGCTGTAATCTTTCAGCGGTACATCTGCGACTCCACTATTTTAATTGGGGTTTGTTTTCAAACTTTCAACGCCACGGTCGTTACCATTCCAATCATCAAACGACAAAACAACCCCCATTATGATCCGGGACATTACATTCACGTGCCATGTATGTGTGTGGTCAGTTTATTTGGCTTTGGCTACATGAATGAGCTGTATTGAGGAAATAACCATGAAGATGTAAATATGGACGTCCTCTCCTGAGTGCTAATAAATTTCTCGGTTTCTTCTCTCTCAGCTGCGCACACCAGCTGGCCCGATACATCATCATTAAAGATCTCGCTGGTCCAGGCTGCGGTGTCAAAATAGCTCGTTTTGTTGCAGGTTGAAAGGACTTTCTGTCTTTTCAAAATATCGTTAGTGACATGATTGGCTGTTATATAAGCACAATCAAATCAAAAGATGAATTTATTGTAATTTGCTGACCCCTAACGATTTTGAGATGAAAGGTATGCCTCTGATTGATAATTCGATATGTTTTGGTCATTCATTTTTTTTTGCCCCGTTTGAAACCTCAAAATACAAATCAAAGTTACTATTGAACTTATCTGGTCTTAAAGTTTGATGGAGAACAATCCTTGCAATTTGTATGAAAAGTAATTACTGTTTAGTTAGGGCATTGGTGGATCATTCTCCTTTTTAATAAGATTTCTATTCGTACCCTATGATACTCGATCTCATAAAGGGTGCTTATACTTGTACAGGATTTAAACAAAAAATACATTTATATCGTTTTCGTACCTATATTTTTTCAAATATTCTTTTGGACAGCTTAGGGTTAGCTCCTTTTTTCTTCAAAAGTTGGATAATTTATATCAAAGGAAAGACAACTGAAATAGGCCTATGCATTTAGAAGTTAGAACTAAGTGGGTCGTGGGCTCGTGGACCAACAATATGGGTTTAGCACATACAATGATAACAACCATTAAGTGATACTGAGAATAATTATACGGATTATCATGATGTATAGGATTTCTCACATGATCATGACCTTTGGTTGAACATCTTGGAACTGGGGGAAAGTTCTTGCTGTACATTTTGCTGCGTTTCGTTGCTTACTTATTACTAGTAGTAATACGATATCGGGAAGAAACATGCAGCTGAATGTTGTTTAATGTTCAATTTTGTAGCAGGCCTATGGATAGGGCAGTATATAAGAGAAAGGTAAGTGGGTTACAGACATCGGATATACAGACAAGAAACCTTGTACATCTTCTCTTCGTAACACTATCTCCATTCTTTATGCCTGGGCCCTCGTACCATAGTATTTGTTTTCTATATAAACATTATGCACACACAATACCCTTATCATACTCGTACTCATTCACCAATGGCCTCCTGCACCCATGTCAGTTCACGACTGGTCTACTTCTGTAACATAGAAACAAATGATAAAGAATCTCATGTGGTGATAATCACCCTGTCGTTTTAGGGACACCATAGATGATTTTTTTTGGTGGTATTTTCTGTTACATTAGTCAGCGGGTACCCATTCATAATGTTACGGAATTCGAAATATTTACCCAATTTGATAGGAAATTTGATATCCAATTTCGAGGTGTCCATTTTGAAATGCAGATTGCAATAAATTTGTTTTACCATGACACGATTGTCTAATATTTATAGCTTAAACTTGAAACACATTTTGTAATCAAAAGGTGATCTCGTCTGACAAATAGAACCTTTGGCAAAGCTGGTTTGAAAAACTCAGTAACACTTGAGCTTTAGAGTAGTGTATTGAAGAATTATAATGTGCGTCCTGTGATTTCATTGCTAATACATTTTAAGTTCCAAGTTCCATGAACGCCAAATGAACTCGACTTTAGCTTGTGTTCTCCTCCCCCTTTCAGAATGGGCGTAGTTTCTTTATGTGGGAAAACCAAGCATGAAATTATAGAAACACACCACACCACGTGGTAGAAAAATCATTTTTGTTTGTCACATTTCGCAAGGCTCCCTTCCGGATATCACGATTGTTGACGATGTCATAACACCCCCACAGGGGCATACCCCTTTCTATTCTATCAATTTTGTTTTCCCCTGTTTACAG